ATGCAGTTGTAATTAGAAAATGTTTGATTTCTTCAATATGCATGTACATTTGGCAGTTATTTGCTACATGTTTAATCAATTCAACTTTTTTCTGCTGGGTATGTGATGAAGCTCGAGTTGAAGCTATTATTCTAGGACAGACAATCTGCATTTTTTGGAGGGAAGGAACTGTTTTTGATTACCCTGTTTCTTAAAAATCCGAACATGATCTGTAAATTTCACAAAACATTTTACGTGCTGTTTGCAAAGTTTGTAAGCATTTTCATAAAAATAATATGTGTATTAATGAAAATGTAAAGCTTTCTGTTAAAAAAACATTTTTTTTTTTCATGTGTTATTCTGCTTATAAGAAGCAGAGTATTCAGTTAAATTTCATAAAACCTTGAAACATGGTAACATTCAAGAGAAATATTAAACTGAAATTCGAAATGAAAACATTGTGCATTCAATGAAATATAAGCATTTAAAAAGTATTTCTAACTGCGCATGTGTGAATTAAATAAATTTTTTCTTTCATCATCTTGTAGCTAAGTTTTTATTTCCAATGGCAGAATGTGAACAGTTACAGCAAAAGAACAAGAACAAAGGACATAGAATACAGCAATACAATGAAAAAAAAAAAACAGCTGTAACAGAGTTCATTAACTCTTTGAGGGTCGGTGGTCGCGCCCTGAAACCACCAATTTTCGAAATTTTTTCCGCTCTTGTTTCCAAACTGTTTAAGTGAAAACCGATTGATTACTTATCTTTTACCTCTAAATAACATAAAATTACTGCAGAACTATACATTTTTTAGGTCTTAGTATTTTAAATCAGATGCTTTTTAAAATTCATTTTCAGTGATACAAAATAACTTCCTTTTATTTATATTAATAACTTAAAATTTAAAAATTTTTTATCGCACATCATTATTTCTATCATAAACAATAAAAATACAGCAATAATTAAACTGCATATATAAACAACCTGTGTATATTTATGGTATTTCCTTTGTGGTTTCACACATTCCCCTGGAGGCTCGGTGGTCGCACCCTGAAACCACTGCTCTTTATAGTAATGTTTGCTGCTTTGAAATAGAAGTGTTTATTTTCACCCGGATATAGATAAGGGGTTTTGAAATCGCAGAGTTATTGTATTACCAAACAGTACCCGCCTCCATAAAATATTTTTCGTTCCAGAGATTTTTCTCTGCTTTCAACATGCTTGCTCTCTATGCTAGTACTGTGATTTTCTAAATTATTTTGTGTGGTTCCAAAAAATTGGAAATATTTTTGAATAATTAAAAATATATATGTGCAAAAATTTAATTAAATTTAAAATATTTGCCAATATTTTATTTTCTACTGTTGAGATTCAAAATGCCTCGCAAAGGGTTAGAAATAGCTGATGCATTAGCGTTACTTGAAGAATTACCTTCAGATCCAGAATCAGTGGTCTCTGAGGATGAAAGTGAAGGAGAAGGAAATACTCCTTTACACCCCTTCCCTCCTGCTTATGGAAATATAGAAGATGAAAGTGATGATCAGTCAGAAAATGATGATATAAATTTACTAAGTCCTTCCAGAATTGCAGATGTAACATGGAATAAAATGCACAATGTAGTGAAATCCATTCCCAAATTTTCTGAGGATTATGGCCCAACTGACGAAATTACCTCTATGGAAGATGCAAAACCCATGGATATATTTATGGCTTTTATCCATCTATTTATCCTTATTATGTACGTTCTTATGTTTTCACTGCTGCAGAAAAATTACATCAATTATAATTTTTTTTTCTCTGATGATATACTTTGTAAAATAAAGTAAAAAAATTATATTTGATGCAATTTTTAAATGCAGTTTTTTTTTTTTTATTTATTCACAAATTTCGTCATTCATTGGAAATGCGTACGGAAAAAGGTAAGTTGTTTTTTCCAACTAACTCCGTAAGTTTCAAAGTCCTAGACGCGCGCTGGTTTCACAGCGAAACCACCACCCACAGGTTAATGTGCGGGAGTAGAGATTTTTTTTAATTCATATATTATTTGTCTCTAAAATCATAATATTCGATTTCTAGTGTTTTTAGTTAAAAATTTTTTTAAAATAATATAGCGCGCATCAAAGGGTTAACCCTCTGAGCATTATGACCGGATTTATCCAGTCATCAGATGTTTTGCTTCTTGGCATATATTAACTTATAATTTAAGATATTTTGCTTTCTTACTTACTTTAATAATGCAAATATCATCTTAATGAATGTAAGTTTGTGAAAATACAGACTAAAATAAGTAATTACTTAAACTCAATTAATAAATGCTGTTTAAATACCAGTTTTCGTGACGGATCTAAAATCCTGTAACGCTCAGAGGGTTAATCTAACATATCTCTTGCCTCCCAGTAACGCTTGGCGAGAAAAGTCTTGCACAGAGCAGGACAGTGGGGTAAATGTGCGGCATCCATCACCTCTCCAGAGCTGCACAGAGTGCATATCGGACAAGAAACAATTTTAAATCTATGAAGATGATATTGTAGGCAGTCATGTCTGGTGGCAAGGCCACTTGGCTGTGAAAGTTCTTGCAGAAAACTCTGCTGAGATTAAATCGTTTTTATTATATTCCAACTGCAGCACTTTTAATCATGCATTAGTGTGGTGGGATATTGCAGCAACCCCCCACAACTGTTTGTTATTGTATCAATCATATTAACTGCTTGAATACAGTATTAATGGCATAAGCAGAATCATCCATATAAAAATGTGCAGCTTATTTGCAGAAAGATATCTTTCATCATTTGCAACAAGAGTAGTCGTTTTGAGCTCTGTGTCTGCGGAAAATTTTATACTTGCATAAAAACTACATCTAGATTATCGTTGAAGATTTGTCTTTTGTTCAACTATGTAAACAAATTTATTTCCAAAACTTTTAGTTATGCAGATAATAAAAGGAATTATTAAAACAATTAAATTTTAAAATATTAAAAGAATATGTAAGGGAATTTTAATCTAATATATTATTGCAAAATTTAAGTAAATAATTTTTTTCTTTTACAGGTGGTATCATGGACGTTTGGATAGGTACAGTGCTGAGCTTCGATTACAAGGTGCAGGTAAACTGGGAGGCTATCTAGTTCGTGAAAGTGATCGCAAACCTGGATCTTATGTTTTGTCTTACTTAGGTCATACTGGTATTAATCACTTCAGGTAATTTTCTACAAATTCATTTTTTTATTTTATAAGCATGTGACATAAAAGCTGTAGTTAGGCGTATTTTAGGAAATTAGAGGAATTAATCATCTTCCACAGCATTCATTAGTATTTATGAAGCAAGCTAGAGGGAGAAGCAACCTTGTAGTGCCTTTTCTCAAGTAATAGACCATTATACGTATGTTCAAACCAAACTGTGTTGCAGCTCTTATAAAGCTCTTAAGCATCAAGTAATGCAAAAGTTCCTGGGATAAAATGAGATCTTGTTTAAGATTATATCCTAGTTTTAACTATGTTGTTTAGCATAACATTAGCATAAATCTTTAGTCTGAGTATTGTTATAAGGTAAGAAATGTACAAACAAAATTAACATAAAGCTTTCTGTTAGTAAAACTTAAATCATGATTAACAAAATGACCCACTTTTTCTTTACAATCTGCTAGTTTTTTAAAAGTTGTATAATTTTTAAGTCAATTAATATCATTTTACCACATGTGTCACACCCCCTGTGTTAATATCATATCACACTCCATCTGTTAATATCATTTTATCAAATAACTGTTGAGAATCTGAGGCTGTAGGAAGGTTACATTGAATTATTTTTTACCTACACTGGTGATTATGGTCTGGATATAGTGGAATCCCTGATTTTTATTTTTTTAAATCCAGAATTTTTGAGTCTGTGAAGTGTTCAGTCATTATGTTTCTGAAATTTTGTTTTGGATAAAGTGTATCATTCAGAGATTGGCCCACCAGTATGCAAGCGAAGTCGTTAAATGCAGGTAGTTCGATTTGGGTTCAAAATCTGGAAAATAGACTGGCTTCATGGACCTTTTTGCAGTTTTCCCCAAGTGTAATATGACTATGAGCTAGTTTCCCTTTGAGTCCTCATTGAGGGTTTCCATAAGGCAGATAGCCTTGTATGCTTTACTGTAATCAAAGAAACCAAACCAATTTTTCTGAGATTACATAACAGGAAAACTCTTAGACTATGTAAGCATTGAACCCTAGGTGCCTACAGACATTTGCTCAGAAACAGAAAATCTCTTATTATAAATGTTTGGGCTGAGAGAAGATGGAAAATGGAAATACTGAGTATTTTCAAAGCTCATTGCTTCCATTCATTGCTTTATTGGAAGTTCATTTAATTATATGGGTGGTATCATGATAAAATGCTGAACATCCTTCAACACTGATAACCTAGCTATGCAGACTATAAAATAGTATTTATTCTCATTGCACAAAAGTGCATGTGAAACTTTGAGGCAGAAAATCCCTTTAAACACCCTTTTAATGCTCAAGCAAAAAGCTACTGTCCGCATCAAAATATCATGCTGATCATACTGAACTTTAAATTATTAGCAGAAAAAAAGTATAAAAGCTGCAATTCTTCAAAACACCAAGCCAGTCAATTGCAAAAATGTTGAGGAACAAAAAAGGTACATAACTGTGTGAAGTGAAATGATATAATAAAACAAACAATTTCTTAATAAATGTTAGAAAAATATGCATTTTTCTTTGCTAATGAAATTGCTTGAAAATATGTGTGTATAATTGTTTGTGCATATATAGCATTAATATTCTGCATTATTTTAAATCATGTTGGATTTTTATTTCATGGTAATTTTCAGGATTTCTGAAGTGGGATTTCAATCACCCCTGTAACTTATTCATGTTTTATTAGTATGATGTTATTGAGAACATCTGCTTTTTTATATAGATTTATTTAGTTTCATTTCGCTCTTTATTTAAATTAAATCCTGAAATTGATTTTACCATTAAGCCCTCACCTTCTTTGCATCTTCAAGCACAGATGTTTTATGCTTGAGGTTTCTTTTTTGTGATATTGCTATTGAATTTAATTTAATGGTCTAAGTGTGAAGAACATGATGATATTTATTTAATAAAGCAAACACACAAAACGTTAAAAAAAAGGGGGGGCTATAAAAGTTTACTACAAATATCATGTTTTATTATTATCTGAAATTTAGGACTTATAATGTTCAGCTGTTTCAACCGTTAAAAGCATGACTTTTTAAAAATATATGTCAAAAAAAAAAAAAAAAAAAAAATATATTCAGGTGCCTATTGAGTCTTGTTTTACTGGAAAAATTATTTAATAGAGCTTATTAAATTTTAATGTACTTTTAAATACAAAACATTTTATTCATAATATCCTGGATAATCTTAATTAAATAAATTTTTTGTTAAATTAAAAACGAATTAATTGAAAATAAATAACTGGCATTATTTTAGCTGAAATTATGCGCCACCTGATTATTACGGCCTTCATTTTGTAAATGGCACCAAGATTATCGATAAATCACCAGCATTAACCATCTTCAAATGGCTGGCAGTGGTAATAACAGTCATTCACAGTTTATTCATGGGAAATGTTCTATGTGTTAGTTTATTTTCTTCAAAAAAAAAAAAAAAAAAATCATTAAAAATGTTTTATTTACCATGAAGTGAGGAAGATGCTATGTTTCTTTCAAAAATTATACATTTTGTCTTGCATTCAAATATGCAGAAATTGTCATGAAGTAAAAATGCATATGGATAAAAGCATTTGGAGGTGAAAAATTCCAAGTGAAGGAAACACGTACATTTTGACAGCTGGCTGAGTGGTTTCAGAATGCTTTTTGTAATGGTGCAGCAATTTGTTTACTGTCAGGTAGAGGAAATAAATCCAATTAAGTAGTGGATAAAGCACTTGAACTTTTATGAAAATATAACTTTTGACCAGATTAATTTTGTGAGAGAGATGCATTTTCTACTTCTAATCTAACAATGGAATAAATGAATAAGTGACACTGAAAAAAACTGTGTACATAAACAGAACATTCAGAAAAAGGCAGTATGTTTTTTATGTGTGTGTAAATAATTTATAGTTACAAGAATAGTTTATAGATGGTACACACACCATAGGTAGTTGTCTGTTGAGCACACAGATATGCATACTGTACTTTTCTGTTATGGCCATACATCCCAATTGTGTGCTAGGTGCATAACAGAAAAGTACCAGAAAGACAAATCTGGCTAGGTTCTTGGCAGGTTATGCAGAGAAACTGATGAATTTTTTCTTGCTGAAGTTCAGAATAGACAGACAACCACACTTGAAACAAAAATAGTTACGCATGTGCTAGAGTGGTGAACGACTTATTTAGAATGTTAGGGAGCCTGAAAAATAGAGAAACTAGAGAAAGCATGTTAGAGACATTTTTTACTAGGAATCGGAGATTTCATTTTTGTCGATCCCCAAAACAGGTGCTGTTACACAAAGTGTTGAAAGACTGGTGTTTCTCTAAGTGGCAGAATGAAAGAGGTATGGCTTGCCATCATCATGAGTCTTGTTTTGCGGAGTTCAATGGGCTATATATAGTTCCTAGGATTAGAAAATGTTTCTGATGGCATATCTTCTGATACCAAACAGTCACGGAAACATGGCAGCTACAATATGCATGTGAGAAGTAAACATGACCTTATCTATAATCCCGACACCAACTTAGTTCTTAAAAATACAGGGGCCTTAATAATAAGGAAGTACCTGAAATTTTATTGATACTCAGATTGACAAAATAGTGTACTTGTTTTAAAAGCTAGGTGTCTTTTTAAAGCATACTACACCATGGATGGTCATTTGTGAAATGAAACCTAGTCTTATATATTTTATGTTTTACTGCCTTAACTTATGATATGAAATTTCAGTATAATTTATATTGAGTTAACATAATGCAAGAATATTTAAATTACTTTTAGAATAACAGCCGTATGTGGTGATTATTACATTGGAGGAAGGCAGTTTGACTCCTTGTCAGATCTTATTGGTTATTACACAAGTTGGTCTGATCTCCTCAAAAAAGAGAGGCTTGTCTATCCTGTTCCACCTCCAGAAGTAAGTAATTCATCAACTAAATTCTTTTATCATGTATTTTCTGATAATAATGCTAAGTATAAATATTTCATTAGCTCAAAATTTTAAGTTTGGAAATATTCAACATAAGTATAATAAAAGAAATTTGGTGCAGTACAACTCCAATTATCCAAACTCCAACTATCCGAATCACTTTCAGAATTTAAGAAAAAAATTAAGATGGAAAAGTAGTGTTGGACAATCAACAATTTCAGACATTAAAAGAAGCAAACCTACAATTTTAAACTTTGTGTCACTGCTTGAAAACAAAAATGGCTTCAAGAAAATTAATGAAGGCAGCAATAAACAAAAATTTAGAAGATGTTGTTTTCAAATGGTTTTTGCAGCATCATTCTGTGGAAAATCCAATTTCATGTCCGATTCTTTGTGAAAAACCTGAGATCTTAGCTGAAAAGCCTGGTTGTTCATCCTTTAAAGCAAAAAAATTTAAAGCTAAAAAATTTAAGTGCAGGTATGTTGTCCATCAAACAGCTTACTTTGACCAAGATGTTCAGCAAGTAATGACTTTCAGCATTTTTAAGGACTGTACAGTATGCTATATAATGTGTACGCAAAAGTATTTCGTTTTCATTTTAATCAATTTAAACCTCTTTTTCTGTAAAAATAGCTTTTTCTCCTATTTTCAACATACAAGGCATACAATAATTGATCAAAGTGTTCATACATCCTTTCTTCAGAAAAAATCAAATTACCCAAATTTTTATTATTCGTATAGGGTTTGGTCCCAATTGATTCGGATAATTGGAGTTCTACTGTATAAACCAACATATTTATTTAATGAAGTTGTTTTTTTAATACTGTAAAAAGGGGAAAGTGTTTCTGTGTGTATATTTTTTAACCATGGTTTTTACCTACCTTTTCTCTTCAGATTTTGTTTTGTTTTTTTGTTTTGTTTGTTTGTTTGAAAAGGGTAACGTCTTTCCGTAAATCAGTGTCTATATAATATGAAGGAGATATTTCATTTCTGTTTCACTTATTTTTTTCATTATCTTTTGGATCAAATCCTTTTTTGTGTGTACCAAATAGTTGAATAGCATTAATAACTCTTTATTTGAATAGCATTAATAACTCTTTATTTGAATAGCATTAATAACTCTTTATTTGAATCATGCTAATTTGAGCTTTTCTCAGTGTCTAATATTCAGTAAGTAATGGGAATATATCTGTGAAATATCTGGATCTATTTTTAAATTATGTGTGATATTTTTTTCCAGTGTTATGTTATAATTTTGTTTCAGAATTTAAAACACAAGTTTGTAATATATTTAATATTTGTAGTAATACAATGTTATGAACCCAGAATTTATTTTTTGCACTTTTAATCAAAATTTCATAGTGCAAACTTATTTTTTAGTTCTATTATTATTTCTTATCTGTGAATGTTAGGCAAAATATATCTTAATTGCTATTGCCAAATATTTTTATTTTGAATATAATTCCATTTGTAACACACACTTTTATAATTGCAGGTAAATTTAAGTTCCTCACATCCCCAGAACTTTCACAGTATGTCTTTAGTCTTTGAAAGATAAGGATAGTAATACAATGACCTGCTATTTATATGTCTCTCATTTATGTATCTCTCCCAGTTTTAAACGTATTATTGGAGGTCTCAGTTAAAACAACTAAACAATTCTTGATTGTGCAATTTACTTTAAAAGCTGTCAGTTATATGCCATAAAGTTTTTTTGATTACATTTTTGCATTTTATTGAATACTGCTTTTTAAAGAAATTAAGTATCTCTGCTGTTATCTTTAATTCCTTCTTATTTTCTCTTGCATACTGTTGTGTATTCCTATTCAAGGTTAGAGTCTATTTTTTTATCTTCCACTTGTGATTTTCCCCTGAAAATCTCTTTACAACTTTTGTCAAAAAAGTAGTTTCTTCTCATAAAATCAAAATAGTGATTCTTGGTGACCAATAAAAAGCAAACTTTATAAGGTGAAATTGTATAATTCTGGACTACTTTAAATTTGCTGAACTATTAGAAACATAAAGACAGTCAGATGACTTATTGTCCCATGCTATTATCTGGCTACAGTAATCACAAATTCAAAGTGAAGGTTTAAAATAAACCTATTTGTAAGACATGCAACTGACCATTATTTAAAACTAATACCATATAATAGGAACTAAATATCTGCTACTTGTGGAAAATGTTGAACAGCATTCCAGTCAAATTAAAATATGAAAATGCAAATTAATATATGATTAAGTAAACTTTGCTTCAAGCTCTAAATATTCATGGAGTAAATGTGGTTTGTAGATGCTAAAGCCCATCAGTCAATTCAAATAACAGAGAAGCATAAACAGGAAAGGCTGCTGAAAGCTCAAATTCAAAGCTGCTATGCCTTGATACTAATTTGTTATAAACTTGCTTGCCTTTATTATTGCATAACTAATTAACTGATTTGCATTCTGGTGGAAGATAATAAAAGTAGAAGTAACGTAAAGCCAAAATAATATGTAATTGTGTTAATAAAACCATATGAAGTTACTTGTTTTTACCTACCATTTCATTTTCATTGGTGTAAACTTTTTATTTAAATGAGTAGATGAATAAAGGTATTGATTTTATTCAGGATGGATGTGATTAAAAAAAGTTTGAAAAATAGTGAGTGAAAGTTTTTAAAAACATATCAAAATTTTATAACATCTGTAAGAAATGTTTTTTCTGGGAAGGGGGGGTCATTATGACATCACATGATGAATCTTGTATTGCTTTCCCAATAAATGGAGCAGCATATAAGATAGAATGTTTGATCAACTGGAAATTAGATTAGTGCAATTGTTTAAGTATTATATCTCTCAGTTATCAAGCAGAAAATCAGTAATTCTACCAACAGGCTTGGGAATATAACATTTTTCTGCATCATAGATAAAAACTTAAAATTAGATGGTTTGCCAAAATTAATAAATGTTTATTACTGCACAATTAGCCTTTTATGAAGTTTGGAGATTGTTCATTCTGTGAAAGATCACTGCTGATTAAGTTGGATTCTGAGATTTCTCACTACTCAATAGGTGAAATGTAATACCTTCCACAGGTATCCATGTTTGTTGCCATTGATATGTATTGTTCTTTGGGAACTGTACTTAAATTTGTATTAAAAATAATTTCAGAAAAATAGTAGGTTACCTGATTTTTTTTCAGAAAATAAAAATGAAGAAACTTTGAACAAGTAATGATAATAAACAAATAATACATGAAGAATGGAGTGTTATTTCACATAGATGAATTTGTTTTGAAAATTTGTTGACTCAGATGCTAATGCAGTACATTTGACAGATATTCAAGAACTAGTTTGTGAAATTCTTAATGGTAATGATTATTTAATGAAAGATCCCACACTTTTGTTATAGCAGTAGAGATATAGAAACTATATTCAGTTTTATGCATGATTAAAATGCTATAAATTAAAGGTATATATATATATATCTTAAATTATATATATATTTAAAATTTTAGACTTTTTAAATTAGGTTTGTAACAATTAAATCTAGCTCAATAAATTTAATCATTGGTACTTTTCTTATTTTGCATATTATTATCACATCATTTTTACATACAGTTATAAACTTTTTTTCTTGAATTAAAACAAATTTTATTTTAGCTTCCTCAATTTATGGATAATTTTTTTTATGTCAGCACATAAATGAGGGGTTTCTGTATTAGGAAGGCCATGGTTTTATGTCAGATTCATTCCGTCATTTGTGTTTTTAGTATTGTTATGAATTTTTACGTAGATAGTTGATTTTAGTGTAATTGTATTATGGGAAATTGCTGTATTTCTTTCGTATAATGCAATATAAAAATGTAAAAGAGACAAGCTGTTCTGGAAAAGTAAGAATATGGGGGCAAGTCCATGTAACATTGATTAAATGGGTATCTTGGTAATTTGGCGAGATATTGCAAAGCTGACAACAGTTTTGGCAATTTATTTTGTTAAGTTCACTCAAGCTGTTTTCGAAATTAGTTTTAAATTTCTTATAGAATAAATGCTTTGCAAAATTGGAAATACGGTGATTTTCGAAATTGAAAATACTGGAACATATTTTAACATGCAAGTTTTTCTAAGCGAAGCTACTTGCAACAAATTTAAACGAAGACAACGAAAAAAGGAAAGAGGAGGTTATAGCAATTGCTAAATTCAAGCAAATAAATTATTGTGATTTCACAGTGAGAAATCAGAAAGCGTTTTTAGTTAGTTTCAATGCAGAATGCTCTTCCCTCAATATAAATCTCCAAGCAGAGAAAGCTTTTTATTTTCTAATATCACCATAATTAGTATTGTAATTGAATAAATATAATTGATAATTGTATTAGTTGTAACTGTAATTTGACCCTCATATTGCTTTCTAGTAATTTCGACAAGCAGAAAGTATGAGAAATATCTTGGCGCCCATTTGAAAACTGTATAAGGGCAAAGCATCTGCTGTCAGTTCTCTAGTTTTTGTTGTTGCAAGTTGCTAATTCAAGAAGTTACTGTTCTTTTCTTCATAATATTAGAAATAGGAGGTATAATTTGAAATTTATGTTAGATTATATTTTTTAATAGTTTAAATGGTGAATTATGATAAAACTCTTTAGCATTCATCTAATATGGGAATGTGTTTGATGAATATTTGATGCACTAGTTCTTTAATAATAATTATAGATCATGAATAGTTTTAATCAAGTATTTTCATTATTAAATTTTAAATAAATGTTTCAAATGTTTATTTATGGTATTAAATAATTAATGTTAAAGGAATAATTCTCAGCCATAGTTATATGTTCTTTTTAAAAGTGGCTAAGAATGCAAAATTGTTCACAACAAAAACTGAAAAGTAACATAATTAATCGTAGCTATGTGTTAAGTTTTTATAAGAATTATTCCTTTTTAAAAATTTAAAATTTTTTTAAATATATGTAAGATACAAAAATGGGAAGTATACGTTCATGTGTTAAATGATTCTACTAATAAATTATTACATTATAAAACTGTGAATAAAAATTTAATAAAATTGTACTGTTTTATGATGTAAATCATACAGTTAATAAAAATTTAGTTGAGAAAATACTACTTGAAAAAAAGATGGTTTTCTGGGTGGGGGAATAAAATGATTTTTTTTTTTTTTATTTTGAAATTAATAGTGTATAAAAGAAAAATTCCTCTTACTGAAATATAGTAGTGCTTGATATTAAAAACTGATATAAGTAAATAATTGGGCTGGAAGTCTTAAATCAAGAGTTTTATCGCATATTCTTCTTAGTTTTAAGGTGTACTGATTACATCTTGGAGGATTTTACTAATGGTATATTTAATACTTTGATGGCCCATGGCAAAACATTATACAGGGTGATTAAAAAGTCAGTATAAATTTGAAAACTTAATAAATCACGGAATAATGTAGATAGAGAGGTAAAAATTGACACACATACTTAGAATGACATGGGGTTTTATTAGAAAAGCAATAATCTGATCAGAAAAGCAATAATTAGCATAACAGATTAAGACAAAACAAAGATGATGTTCTTTACAGGAAATGCTCAATATGTTCACCATCATTCCTCAACAATATCTGTAGTCGAGGAATAATGTTGTGAACAGCACTGTAAAGCATGTCCGGAGTTATGGTGAGACATTGGCGTCGGATGTTGTCTTTCAGCATCCCTAGAGATGTCGGTGGATCATGATACACTTGCGACTTCAGGTAACCCCAAAGCCAATAATCGCACGGAGTGAGGTCTGGGGACCTGGGAGGCCAAGCATGACGAAAGTGGCGGCTGAGCACACGATCATCACCAAACGACGCGCGCAAGAGATCTTTCACGCGTCTAGCAATACGGTGTGGAGCGCCATCCTGCATAAAAATCTCACGTTCCAGCAGGTGTTTATCAGCCAGGCTGGGGACGATGTGATTCTGTAACATATCGGCGTCCCTCTCACCCGTCAGGGTAGCAGTTACAAAACCAGAATCACGCATTTCCTCAAAGAAAGAAGGCCCGATAACAGACCTTTGAACTTTTTTTTTTTTTTTTTTTTTTTTTTTTTTTGTCTAATAAAACCCCATGTCATTCTAAGTATGTGTGTCAATTTTTACCTCTCTATCTACATTATTCCGTGATTTATTAAGTTTTCAAATTTATACTGACTTTTTGATCACCCGGTACATACTTTGAAAAAAGCATTTGCCATAAAATTATTTCTTTGGTAATTCTTTTTTTTTTTTTAATTCATAAGTTAATGTGTTATCTGCTTTATTTTTTAATCGTTTTTCCTCTCCTTAGCCTGTAAATGATAAAAAAAGGGTTGTGGCAATACTGCCTTATAACAAGATGCCTGACACAGATGAAATAAGGTAATTTCTATTTTTATGAAAAAACTTTTTTTTTTTTTTTTTGTTCAAAAATTAATGTAATCAGTTTAAAAAAGTGCAGTTTTGAAATTCCATCATAGCAGTTATCGCTTTTGTAAAAGTACATTTTATTGTCGAAATTTTTTGTATATTTATTAAAAGTGGTATTTTTTTTAAAATGTACCTCAGGAGAGAAGAAAACTATTTCTAAAACCTTATTTTTGTTTATTAATTTTTATTGTTCTTTTTTCAAGTCTGTTACAGAATTTTAAAAAAAAATTCAATTAATCTATTTGATTTTTTATTACTTTGTCTTTTTCTACAAACTGTTGAGTGTTGAATTTTATATTCTAGTTTTCTGAAAGGTGATATATTTATTGTGCACAATGATATGGGAGATGGTTGGCTGTGGTGTACTTTGCATCGAACTCAAGAAAGTGGTTTGGTATTTAAAGAACTTGTTGAGGAATTGGTAAGGAAAATTTCCATTCTGTTTTAAATGCAATTTCTTTTAAATAATGAGTAAAGAAAGGAAGAAGGGGGCTAAATATGTTTTTTTTTTTTTTTTTAATTAAAAAAATTGTGTGTGTAAAACTTCATTTATTTTTGTCGTTTTAATGGTTCAGTTGTTTACAATTATATCTAAATCAGGAATTCCTAGCCTTTTTTCTTGCATTGACCCCTTTCAAAAGAATGGTTTCATTATTGACCTTCTTTCAACATTCCATATAATATTCAGCATTCAACATAATAATAATACAAATAACTCTACATAAATAACTTATATAGATAATAATAAAAATAACTTAAAGATAACTGAAAGAGGAAAAATTCCATAATGTTGTTTCAGTATGATTTTTTATTTTGTGATATTTCTCTCAGATGACTTTTAAATTCCAAAACTTAGTGTACCCATGTGCTTTGAGTAAGACTTGTGCTTGAACATTTTCCTTGAATGCAGTTGATACTTCTTGCATTATAAAATTAAGATTAGATATTATAATATCAAAATTAGACATACAGTACAAAGTCCGAAATCCGGACTGGTCAGGACTTTGGCGATTCTGGATTTGGGATTTTTCCGGATAATGGATCAATTTAAATCTGGTAAGATGGCATGCAGAAATTATACAATTAAAAATATGAAATAAAGAACAATTATAATCTAAAGGGTATCAAAATTTACAAAAAAAAAAAAAAAAGCTTAATATTTATTTGTTTCCTTTATTAAACATTTCTTTCAATGTAAGTTGTATAAGATGCTTCCAAAAAAAAATTCAAAAAGTTCCTTTTTGTGTGTGTGTCATATACAATGGCGACTTTCCAATGCCATACTCCTTGCTTTATCCATTTTTTTGCAGCAATTCCATTTTTTGTTTAATGAACATCGAAAAAACATCGTTTCACTTTGTAGATCCTTTGGCAACTCCAGAATTGGAAACTCTTTTTGACATAATCGAAAGTTCAAGCTTAGTTTTTATAAAATTGCTGTAATAATAACAGTCTGTGAAAAATAGTAATCTGGATCATATTAGAAGATCAGGGAGCAGTGTAATCTGCTTCATTAATTGAAGTGCCTTAAAATCAGTAAAGATAATTTTAGCCTAGCTTAATAGCATCCATTATACACTATTGGCTGTGTATCACAGGATTGGTGGTGAAAGCCAAGTCGTTTCGCTAAATTTTGTCTTGCCGCTATTGTGTACTGAATTGTATCAGTTTAGTTATTTACTATACTTACGTTTATATCTTGCACATGCTTCAAACTAATCCGAGTCCTGAATAAATAAACTCCCACATATACTTAAGGCTTTATATAGGGCAGGCGCTTGATACCGCCTGGTGCAGTCTCTACGGATCCTAAATTCTGCTACAAAGCACTTTCCTAAGTTCTAAATTTTCACCGTGCCTAAACTTTGAATCCCAGTGCTTTTCCTAAATCAAAAAAACTTCTCATCCCCTAAATTTGCAGCTTGGTGCTTCTCCAAATTCCAAAAAATTTTGTCTTCCCTAAATTCTGCTGTCTGGTGCCGACATATTCTGCCACCACTTCTGGGTTAATGGTGAATAGCATATCAGTTATTCTTAATTAAAATAGCACTAAATGTAATCTATTGGCCTATGATTTTCATTAACAAAATCTATTTTTAGCATATGAAGAGAAATTTTTGTTTGAATTTTATCTGGTCAACATTTCTTAGAGCATTTAAAAATCTGTAATCATCGCCAAGCTTAATGTTAGCATAAAAGGTTGTCATACTCTTGTTGTTCAATTACTAATATAAAAAAAAGTATAGACATCACAGCTTGAGTTATTACTGAAGCTGTCATGTGTTGATAAATATGCAGTGTTGAAAGCAAAATATAATAATGACTCACCAGGTCGGCGTCAGGGATATAAAATAGGTGAATGTTTCGGTTTGAGATGTGATGTTAAGCAGACACTCAGCTGCAGAGCCAACTTATTAATCTTACAAATTTATGCTTACATGATTGTTTTCCCATAACGAGGTATTTTATTTAGTGCCTAAGGGAAATTAAGAATCGGAATTTTTAAGTGAAAATCTCCACATATTTTATTGTGGAAGGAAAAATCAAATGCGCATGCATAAAGCATTAATAATAATAATAAAAATAAAAAAAATGCTTGTGGCTTTGAGGTTCGGATTTTAGATCATTCCGGATAATGGACACTCAGGTTTTGGACTTTGTACTGTATCACATTTCAGCATCTTTATGAGCCATGCTGGCACATTCAAATATTTAGCATCTGGGAAGCAAGCATTGCAATATTCGTTTAAATTTTGAATGTAGCTTGTATGCAACGTAATATTTTCTGAAGAAGTACATTCCTTTTCAATAAAAAAAATTGCATTATCTAAATAATAGAATTCTTTTTGATTCAGTGTCGATGTGAACAATTGGGATTTTGATTATGACTCAATTAATGGTGCATATTCCGCTATCGAGCCCTTCTTCATCATCATTAACTCGCGTTAAAGCTCATTAGTCCCCAGAGGGTCAATCTCAACTCCCAATGCGAATTTTGATCTAAAGAAATGTGAATTTTTTGTGTAAGAGTTTAAAAATGAAGAAATTATTAAATATTCTATCACTTAGTATTATTGGTGCTTCAATTTTCCTTTTATATATATTGTTCGTGTCAGGATTTTTATCTTACATCCACTATGCGTATCTTTTTGATTTTGCATTATTATTTAACAGGACAAAAATTCATAGCTAACATCATCGAAATACTTTATTCTACTGCTCTTTTAAAAAGTTCATGAGTAATTAATATTGTCTGTTGCTGTGGTTACATTCACTATCTCTCGTGTTTTTTTTTTTTTTAATTACAATTGCTTTGAATATCTTTTAATATCATGACGCCATCTGGGGGTAGACTGTGGAAATTGCTAACATTCGGGCATCCTGACTAAACAATTGACCTCAATTGTCGCCTTTTTTTTTAAACAAATATTGTTGGCAATACCACAAGAATCCACATTTTGTGTGCAGTATAATCATAATTTAAAGTTCTAGAAGGAATAAAAAGTTCAATAACAAAAGTTCTTAATGAAGTTTTTCCAGTAAAGTGCTTTGTAGGTTCGGGACAAAAAAAAAACTTTTTACCTGTAGCTTCACGAGTTAATATCCTAGTTTCCTGGTTCCTCTTCATCCAACTCATCTAGGTTATTAGCATACCAAGACTTCAGCTGACTTACGTGGGCTGTTGTTTTATACGGTCTACCGCGCTCTTTTTCCTCCAGTTGGGTCACATCATTGGGAAGGACTTATATCACAATCAAGGGTCCTCTGTATTTTGGTTGAGTTTTGTAGGTTCACCTGTTGCTCTTGATGGTCGTCGAACAACTACTATTTCACCTGGTTCAAAAGTCATTGTTCGGCACTTTTTCTCTTTCATCTTATGCTGTTTCCCTTCGATGTATGTAGTACTCTTTCATCTTATGCTGTTTCCCTTCGATGACAGTGTACGTTTCTTCTTGAACTTCTTTTGGATCAGTCTATACATCTGCAACTTTTCATAGGATTCCATCGTTAAATCTTGGGAAATAACCATGTAGGGTTTCAAAAGGCGTTTTAGTTTGTTGATAGTTTTGTTGATAGTATTATTCAAATTTCATTCAGTTTCATTTAGTCATGAATCCCAATCTTTGTGGCGTGAATCACTCTTGGATGTGGATATTGGGGATAAGATTGTTCTGTTAGCTCTTTCTACCATCCCGTTAGCCATTGGATGTTGCGTAGAGTTTAACATGTGATTTATTCCATTTTCACAACAGTACTACTCAAATCGATGAGATGTATAACAGCTTCCTCTATCGCGGATGATTCTATCAGGGAGTCCAATTTCATCAAATTTCCAAAGTTCTGAGAGCTATTAAAACATGTAAAGAGGATGTATTTTTTACAGGGAACAGTCTAGTAAATCCTGTGAAATTGTTGATTATTATCAGTAAGTCTTGATTTCCTCTTGAACTTTTCACAAATAGGCCTAGATGATCCATGTGTATAATTGAGAAAGGTCTTCTTCTTGGATTAATTGGGTGTAAATACCCCTGCTGTTTACCTCCTGGAATTTTATTCACCAAACACTCAAAGCATAGAGACTTGTTTCCACAAGTAACGTTTCATGTATGCAAACCAGTATAGTTCTTTGATTTTATTGACAGTTTTGTCCACTGAAAAATGTGTCATTAAATCATGAAATTTTACTGCCATGCTTTTCCTCATACTTTTGGAAATTACGTAGAGCAATTTTTCTCTCCCTTTGCTGAAAACCCTCCGTTATATATACACTATTTCTTTTAAAGACGTAATTTGTAATTTTCTGTTTTTCTTCTGTCATTCTCCCCTCAGGGGGCTCACTTTTGTGAGTACGGGTGTGGCAATCCCGAGGTACCCTAGCCCTTCAGGGGATCATCTTCTTGATGAGACGGGTGTCATGATCCTGGAGCCCCAGTGATCTATCCTCTTTTCCATCTCCTGTCCTCTTGGCTGAAAATTTTTTCCTTCCCTTCTCCCTTGTGGTTTCTCTCTACGGAGTTTGGGGCTCGTCACGAGAGACTGGAGCAGTCCTTGCATCTAGTTTTCGAGTGGTGAGAAAACTGCCCACGTGTTTGCCGTGCATGGAGACCCGTGTCGCTGGAAAGGAGGGTCCTGGTAGTTGAGGGGCGAGGTACTGTCCCCAACACACTGCTTTGGCCTCTGCTTCAGCTAAACGGGAGGCACCTTAGTCGTCCTCATGGGTGTCAATCGGCTGGTCACTAGTCCTTGTGTCAGTGGCTTGGGGTCAAGCTCTCGGGAGTACCTGCTTTCGGGAAAGCCGACTGTGGGGCTTCAGTTTGCGTATAGGTCCGGCTAGCCCTAACACAGGAATCTGTGTTCCCTTGTAGGGCTCCGTGGTAGGTGGGGCCGTCAGACCCGAATCTTTTCTCTTTTAAACATGGC